GGAGAGGATGGAAGCTGTGAGGTGGCTGCGAGGTTGAGGGTGGCTGTGAGGTGGCTGTGAGATATAGAGGGGAGGTGTGCGGTGGCTGTGTACTGAGATCGGAAGCTATGAAGTGGATGACATCTGGTAGCTCCTGCATGAGCATAGCATCCCTGCTGTTTATGAAATTACTTTGCTTTGTTGATATTTCTGTATTACCCCTGCACGATACATTGACATTTAAATAAATATAATATATAAATACATACATAGTATAAGAGGGAAGGTGTGAGGTGAGGATGGAAGCTGTGAGGTGGCTGTGAGGTGGCTGTGAGATAGAGGGAGGTGTGAGGTGAGGATGGAAGCTGTGAGGTGGCTGTGAGATAGAGGGAGGTGTGAGGTGAGGATGGAAGCTGTGAGGTGGCTGTGAGGTGGCAGTGAGATAGAGGGGAGGTGTGAGGTGGCTGTGTACTGAGATCGGAAGCTATGAAGTGGATGACATCTGGTAGCTCCTGCATGAGCATAGCATCCCTGCTGTTTATGAAATTACTTTGCTTTGTTGATATTTCTGTATTACCCCTGCACGATACATTGACATTTAAATAAATATAATATATAAATACATACATAGTATAACAATTGTATTTGTTTCGTAAACCCGCATCTAACACCTGCATGGCTGTTCTGATCAAGTTATGGATGTGTTATATAAACTACATGAACGCCAAATAAATTGGGGCGTCTCTATTGCTATGGCTTCTGGCGATATCACTGAGCAAACATCTCACAAGCAGCAGCTGGCCTCGCCATATAATACTTCTCCCCCTTCCCTCTCTACCCGACTTAAATTGACTACGTCACGAATTTTCTATGGTGTATATTTGTAAACATTATTTTTGTTGTCATTGTTTTACAGTAAAAGTAAGTACTAGCGTGACTAAATGCATCGTCAAATTCTTACCTGATAAGATTGTTTCTCAACTAGTTAAAAATCAAAAAAACCTAGACGATTTGATTTTTAACTTACTATTTACGGTGACGTACCTAATCACTTTAACCTCGGCCTTCTGCTAACCAGCAACAGATGTCGGTTAACTAGCCGTAGTTTGTTTTTAAATGAATTTTTTTATACGCAGAGACACGTACATCATGCACGCATGCCCCATTAGGCCTATGTCAGAGGTGGATCCAAGAATTCTTAGATAGGGGGAGTCATGTCTTGTGATTCACGGGTGACGCCGGAAGAGGGAATGGTAACAAAAAAGAAAGCAATATAGCTATAATATACGCAGGCTTATGTGAATGAGAAATGATCTCTCATTTGTGTACTCCTAATATAACAAAAACCAGGCAGCTAGATGGTTTATACATAATTATAAGTGCTGTTCCGGCGCCGTTGTAAGAATGTGTAACGTCTATGATGCCATGATGGCTCAAATGGATAGAAGTTACGGGTGTATGCATGCGCGTGCGTTCGTGCGCGCTGCGCTCGTACGTGCGTGTGTGGGTCCGTACGCGCGTGCGAGTGTGAGCGCGTGTGTGCGTCCGTGCGCGCGTGCGAGTGTGAGCGCGTGTTTGCGTCCGTGCGTGCTCGTGTGTGTGCGCGCTGCGCTCGTACGTGCGTGTGTGTGAGCGCGTGTGTGCGTGCGCGCTGCGCTCGTACGTGTGTGTGCGTGCGTCCGTGCCCGCGTGTGTGTGCGTGTGCGTGCGCTCGTACGTGCGTGTGTGTATCCGTGCGCGCGCGTGTGTGTGCGCGCGTGTGTGCACGCGTGTGTGTGCGCGCGCGTGTACGAGCATCCGTGTTGTCTACAGTGGATACTAAATGCGCGTGTGATGTGTATTACATGCAAAGAAGCCGCTTGGACACATGACGTTCTCACGTGACCGCTGAAGCTGTGAATTTGTGTGTGTTGACGCTGGCGTGGCAGTTCTCGAGCAGCCATTATCTGACAATGTTGTCTGTGATTTTATATTCACGGTTATTTCTGTTGCGCGCACACACGGAATGTGTGGGACAAATGATTTTGTAAGTATTAGTAGTATATAGTAATAGTATGTAAATGTTGTATCTATATTTTCCATTCCATTCCATTAGTTTGTATTAGTATTAGTTTGGAAGAGCACAATCCTGAAGGAAAGAGAGAGGGTGATAGAGGGGTTTGAGTGGGGGTCTAACGTAGCGGAATGTATTCGGGACGTCCAGAAGGGGCCCCAGCTCGATTCGCGCGAGCACACGCGGCACGGTTTCGGAGGAGATACGTAAAACGACACTTCGGCTCCTTCCACTATTATATAGTAGATATGTGTATATGTATAGGTTCTAGAATAACCACCTGACTATTTAATTACCCCCGTACAATTTCCCTCCCCTCACCGACCCCCAGACAATCACCGCACACATCAGACATTATTCGCGGTTGATAAGGAAGGATTTGAAGGGGCCGAGAAAGTGGAAGAGGAGAAGCAGAAAAATGGCTGTGAGAGAATATGGTGGAGGACCTTATAGGATTTATGCCTGCAGCGTAACAGTCGGCTTACTCAACACTGCGCGTATTGTGTGGTATTAGTACGAGTTCATATAGCCGACGCGCACGCACGCACGCACGCACGCACGCACGAACGCACGAACGCACGCACACACACACACATATATATATATATTGTCTCATTAGGTAAACAATCAATGGCTTGCGGTGCCATAGAGAAATAATATAAATAATTACATTTCCATGGAGAATCACTGACGAGCCACCACTCTGCGATTAAAGGGACTGTTAAGATCAAATGTGCTCTTAAGCTTACATGTTTGAATAATATAAAAATCTTGTTACTTATTATATCAAGTACCTAATCGATCGCTTGTTATATGTTTCCTCATTGTTATTGATATAAATATCTTTCCAGCAGGAATTTTTGTCTAGGAGCAACCTCTCAAAGCACACCGCCTATCGTCACAGCACACGACGCTTCCTGGTGATACCATGACTCTCTACAACAAGCTTAGCGCCCCCTGGTGAGACCACACCATTCTATATGAAGCCAGAATCCCGAGATGTAGTCCGAGGATCTCTTCTACATCTGGTCACTCCTACTCATATTATCAATCACTTAATTACCTGTTAGATGTTTTCTTATATATATATATATATAATTATAATATAAATGTATAAAATATATAAATATATTAATAATATTGGATATGATATACTAAATAATAGACTCATACAGACATGTTTATTTATACATTAGATTTGATTTTGACATTTATATGGAGAATCACTGACGGGCTGCAGAAGTGCTAAGAGCAAATTAAGGTATTTGTTCATATTATACTGTCACATAACACCCTGAAATTGAAAAACAATTCTAAACAAATTTGCTCCATACCTGCTTCTCTATGATTCCTGTAATGTTACACTGTAAGGAAATGTGGGGCTTATCTCAGCTATGCGATCCTAACTAAACTTTTCATTCGATTATTCATCATATTTTGACAGTCAGAAAAGCTAACAAACCTCTGTTTCATAAATGTGCTTTTAAGCTCTTAAGTTAAAAATTATATTATATCAAGTACTTAATCAATTGCCTGTCATGTGTTTCCTCATTGTTATTAATATGAACAATCTTTGCAGTGGGAATTGTTGTCTAGGAGCAGCCTGTCCGATCATAGCGCCGCCTATCGTCACAGCACTCGACGCCCCCTGGGGAGACCATGATTCTCTACATCAAGCTTAGCGCCCCCTGGTGAGACCATGACTCTCTACATCGAGCTTGCCGCTCCTTGGTGAGACCACACCACTCTACATCAAGCGTAGCGCCCCCTGGCGAGACCATGACTCTCTACATCAAGCTTAGCGCCCTCTAGTGAGACCATGACTCTCTACATCAAGCTTAGCGCCCCCTAGTGAGCCCATGACTCTCTACATCAAGCTTGCTGCTCCTTGGTGAGACCACACCACTCTACATCAAGCTTAGCGCCCCCCTGGTGAGACCGCACCATTCTATATGAGCCACCACTCTCTGATTAAAGGAACTGCTAAGAGTAAAGGTATTTGTTCGTTTACTAGTTTCTGCATCTCATACCACCCTGAAATTCGATATAATTAATTAGGATATGTATTATATATATATATTATCATAAATCCAATAGATTTTCACGTTTCGTAAACGTTGCTCTTAAGTTTACATGTTTGATTAATTTGAAAATCATTCCACTTATTATATCAAGTACTTAATCAATTGATGTCATATGTTTCCTCATAGTTAATGATATGAAAAATCTTTTCCTTGATGTAGTGCGAGTACCTCTCTTACGCCCTGGTAGAGGAATGCCGCAGAACAGGAGAAGCAGGAGCGGAGGAGGCAGAGGGAGCATGATGCACACCGATTCGCGTCGGGGGACTTCTGAGACAAGCCATCGTAACTGACGGATACAGTGTTTTATGCTGATATTCCACGTGTTTTTAGACAAATTTGTTGTATTTTATACAAATCGTTTATTGTAAGTTCAATCCCATATGTATGAGCATGTCGTTTCGCGTTTTATGTGTACGACTGCGGCCCGTTGTCAGAAATTCTCATTTCATGCTCATTCAACTAGAACAACTAGCACTAGAACTAGAACAACTAGCTATAGAACTAGAACAAGTAGCGCTGAAACTAGAACAAGTAGCGCTGGAACTAGAACAAGTAGCAGTAGAACTAGAATAACTAGCTCTGGAACTAGAATAAGTAGCTCTGGAACTAGAACAAGTAGCTGTAGAACTAGAACAAGTAGCACTAGAACTAGAACGAGTAGCTCTGGAACTAGAACAAGTAGCACTAGAACTAGAACAACTAGCTCTGGAACTAGAACAACTAGCTCTGGAACTAGAACAACTAGCTCTGGAACTAGAGCAACTAGCTCTGGAACTAGAACATCAACTAGCTCTGGAACTAGAACAACTAGCTCTGGAACTAGAGCAACTAGCTCTGGAACTAGAACAACTAGCTCTGGAACTAGAACAAGTTGCACTAGAACTAGAACAACTAGCTCTATATCTAGAGCAAGTAGCACCCTGATTGTAATCCCATGCATGTGCATTCACGATTGAAATGCTTTCAAATAAATATACTCCAAATAAAATGCCCGAGATTCCTCTTTATATATGGTGTTAATTATTCAAAGGCTATCAGCAATACCGTTCTGAAAAATTATCAAAGAAATTGTAACATACACTTAAGAAGTTTGCAGTAGATCATTGGTAGTTTGGGTTGTTGTTAAGGACTCGTTGTTGTCTGGCGGTGTTGACATTAATACTGACCTTGACCAAGACCTCGTCCAATGCCATGGCCTTGAGCTCAAGGTAATGGCCTTGACCTACTTTTTCATTTTTAAACGTTTTTCACAAGTAGGTCATGGCCTTGAGCTCAAGGCCATGACCTTAAAAGTTTTACATTAGTAGGCCAAGGCCATAGCCTTGAGCTCAAGGCCATGGCCTTCACCACTTTCAAAATATTTACATTATCATGAGAGGATCCTTGCCAAGTGCAAGGTCAATGTATGTTTACATTTCTTCCAACAACAGTCTGAAAATATTTGAATTTGGTAATTGCCTGGATTTGAACCCATGATTATTGAATAC